CTGCATCCCCAGTTTCATGGGTGTTTTTAAACAACCATCCACAGTATGTGTACCTGAGATGAGAAACAGGGAAGGGGGCTGGGAGCTGGTTCATTTGTTAAAGTGCTTGCTGTGCAAGCAGGAGGGCCTGGGTTCCTATCTCCAGCACTCACATGGAAGTGGGTACAGTGGTATACACTGGCAACCCCAGTGCTGGCCGAGGGGCAGGGGCAGGGGTGGCACAGGAAAGACAGACAGATCCTGGAGCTCACTAGTTAGTCTAAGAGAAAGAATGAGCTCCACTGTCAGCGAGAACTCTTGTCTTCAAAGTAAGGTAGGGCTGGAGAGATGGCTCAGTGATTAAAGTGCTTGCCCTGCAGGTGGGAGGACCAGAGTTCAGATGCCCAGACCCCATGTAAATACCACATAGTCAGAGCAGCCCACCTGTAATCATAAATCTTAGAAGGTAGATACTAACTTAATTAGACGAACTGTGTCTGAAAGCTCCAAGTTCAACTGAGAGACCTTGCCTCAGTGAATAAAGGGGAGTAAGACTAAGAAAGACTTCTCATGTCAACTTTGGGCCTTCATATGCATTCACACATACATCTACACACATGCAAACATGCACATAAACATATATGCACATCATACACAATACACATGAAAAATTAAAATTTAAAATATGATGAGCAATTATTAGACACTGCACACCAATCTCTGTACATATATATAAAACACATCATATGCACATACACATATAACACACACACACACACACACACACACACACACACACACACACACACACACTGAAGAAGTAGAACTAAAGGTAACAGTTTGAAAAAGGACCATCAGGAAAGAATGTGGGAAGAAGAGCAAGTAGTTGTTGCCTAAGTGAACTTCTTTTATAGATAAGGAAACAGACATAGAAGTAAACTTAGGTAGGAGAGGAAGAGACTTTTTAGTCTTTTTTTTTTTCCTCAGCCTGAGACTCTTTTCATAGAAGTCTAGCAGGGTGAAAAGATCACACTGGAAAAATGTAAGAAAGAAAACTAAGGAATAGAAAGACTGAAAGTAGGGGGAGGAGATGAGGCCATTTTTAATTAGCCTATTACAAACTGAATGAGGACTGACAAGTACCTCTTTTAACAATTCCATAAGGATGCTAAGGCAAAAGAATGCCTGCATGCCACATCAACTGGCTAAGTGATCTAAGCCCTCCAGAATTCAAATTGTCCCTGTAGGTGCTCTCCCTGGTACTAGAGAAAAGAGGGTGGGAAATGTTAATGAGTTAATGAGTTAATCAGATTGGGTAGGCTTTGTGCTTACATAAGTTTTTTTATATTTCTATTTTAATGTATACATGTCAGTGCTGCTATGATGGCCATTTCTGGTCTGATATTCTCCCTAAATATTTTTAATGGCTTTAAGTGACTGAAAATGACAATTATGATAGAAACTAACTGCAATGTACTTGACTAGACGTCATATACACATGTGGCTGAAAGTTAGGAAGCTAGCATCACAATCAGGGAAACTGGATCAGAGAAAAGGCAAATTAAGCCAGGCAGTGGTGGCACACACCTTTAATCCCAGCACTGGGAGGCAGAGGCAGATGTATCTCTGTAGAGTTTGAGGCCAGCCTGGGCTACAGAGTGAGTTCCAGGAAAGACACAAAGCTACACAGAGAAATCCTATCTCAAAACACCATAAAAAAAAAAAAAGAAAAGAAAAAAGAAAAAAAAGGCAAATTAATCCTAAGTTTTAATAATTAAATTCCTCATTTCCTATTGCTTTACATAGTTTTAACAAGACACTTCATCTTATATAAAGAAAGCAAAAAAACGATGAGTGGAGAGCAGAATAATCTATTAAACCTTTATACCTTCCTATTTCCATCTATACTAATTCCCAGATGGATACATTCACTTTACTCCAGAGCCTAAGGAACAGTCTCCCTGGGAGAGGGCGTGCAGAAGGATGCGTGTTCTGGACAAGGACTCCTGCTTTCTAAACTTCCTTCCAGTTATCTCACCTTGTTGTCACCAGAACTCTATCCTGCTAAAAACCACAGTTCTCAAAAGCAATGAGCCCTTTATGCTGGTTCCTATTACCTGGAAATTTCAGATATCATTTCTGAGTGAGTTTATTGGTACTTCTTCAGCCTGTTCTAAAGTTCCCCAGAAATGTCAGTGATATTCTCACTATATGTGATGTCTATAAAAATAAAACTACAAACTCAGAGAAGAAAGGGAGATAGACAGAATGGTGAAAATGGAATCTGGAAGCTTCTTTCTAGACAGCATCCACTAAACTATCAAGCCTTACTCCAAACACAATCTTAGTGTGGACTCTTAGAGGCTAATTAAACCAAGATGGAACGACTTAATTAGGAGAAAACTATGCTCCTCCTCTTTGAAGTGCATACTTACTAGGGCACTGAGTATCTCCAGGAAAATGTTACCTGAGGAATATGGAAACTTCCTCTTGTTGGTCAGCTGGTTCCCAATTTGCTAAAAACTTGAGCACTTCCCTTTTGAGCACAATCATCTATCTGGTTATAGCTGCATTAGCGTACAAATGCTATTACTTAAACACAGCATTATCTATAATTTGGAAACACTGGTAGTGAACACCTATAGGTGACCTTATTTTATATGTGAAGAAGGGAAGCTCTGGGGAAGAACAGTCTTAACGTGTCTCTGTCTCTCACTCTGTCTCTCTCTCCGTCTGTCTGTCTGTCTGTCTGTCTGTCTGTGTGTGTGTGTCTCTCTCTCTCTCTCTCCTTGGATGTCTTGAAACTATGTAGACCAGCCTAGCCTCAAACTCAAGAAATCTGCCTACCTCTACCTCCTTAGTGCTGAGATTAAAGGCACAGTCCATCACACCCAGGGATGGAGTTCATTTCTACCTAAGTTATTTCCATATTTAATAGAAGAGTTCTCTTATGGTCCCCACTAGGATAAAGAATTTACATCTTAAAGAGTTAAATCTTATCCCATGATATATTCTATATACTCTTGTATTTAATATTTCCTAGCTAGGCTAGACCCAAGAGGTATGTAGAATGGCACTTTACACATACATAATTGAACACACAAAACCTTGAATTAAGAAGCTTGTACTTAAAAACAATATTCACTCAAAGTATTTGACATGGACTGGAACTTAATAACTCCTTGATAGCTGAACTATAGGAAACCAGGTTTTATTTCTTTTTACTAATCAGAGGTAGCTTTAAAAGAAGAAGAATGATAGCTAGAAAGCATCATGGCTTAATAAAAATGTATTCCAGAAAAGTAGGTCTTCTTCAATGACAAGATCTCACAAGTCCATGTCTCATATATGACTGAAAAAGCCAGTTTATTAATAAAACAACAGTGCATTTCTCAGGCTATGAAAATTATCAAGCAGTTTAGAAACACAGCAGATATGAACTCTGAACTACATTCCATCACCAACATTCTCAGTAAAGTCATTCTCATGACCTAGTTAGAAACCTGACTTCCTTGGGTTTTACACTAGGGTATTGAGATGTTTCAAGAAGACTGACATTAAGGAGAGTGGTATTTCAAGTCTTCCTGTTGGGCTACAACCCAGTAGAGGAGTGCTTGCCTCCCATCTGCAGTGTCCTTGGCTTAGACCCCCAGCAGCACAAAAAACAAATACCCCAATCTTCCTTAAACCAGCATTCCCACGTTCCCTGCATGCCTCCAGAGAAAAGCAGCCAGGTGTCTGCTCTTCACTTCACTTCACGATCCCTGTTTTGCTAACAAAGCACCACGCTCATAGTCTAAATTCTCTATCACAGTTGCTGCACTTCTCTAGCTCCTTCATTACCAACTTCCTCTTGGCAATTCTCTAAACTCTTCACAAGTAACTACGATTGAGAGTTTTCAACCCTGCACCATTCACACTTGAAGCTAATAATTCCTTGCTGTGGGGAAATGCTAAGGCACTGTATGATGGCCAGCATCATCCTCCCTACCTCAGTTCTGACAACGTTGCTGGAAGCACTGAGAAACACTAGACTTTGCTTTTGTAATTTCATTCCATCTTTGGAATGCAATTATTACCCCCTTGAGAGAATTTTCTCTCCAGGCAACTCATCTCAGGATTCCTCTTGACTCATGAACTTCTCCATCTGGACACACTCCTATTACCTAAGCCATCGTCACACTTCAAGCCAAATCACCACCATTCCCACCCTTGTTTTTCAGTGTCCCATGGTTGGGACTATGGGAAGCACTATGTGTGAATTGCTTCAGTTAGCCATCACAGTAGCACCGTGAAGAAGCTATCATTATACTTATTTTACAGATGAAGAAACTGAGGTGAGGAAAGAAATCTAACCCTGCCCCAAGTAAATGGCAAACTGGAGTTTAAATTAACATAATTTGAGTACATAATCTGCCTTCTAACTATATTATTTTATTTTCCCATCAAACACTGAAGTGCCCTCTTACCTCCCATTCAAAGTAAGGGCATTTAGGCAGGTATCCAGGATACCAACTCAGGTCAGTTTTATCTTCCCCTTCCCAGGTTTTGCATATAGCACTAGGCAACTGGTTCTGAGGGAACCACACTACCTCTGACCTTCTACAGTATAGCTGGAAGTTTCTCCCAGCTATGAAAATCCCTTTCTTTCCCTAGCATTCCCCTCCACTGATCTTCAGTAAACACCCAGGCTCATGCTTCAGCTCTCCATTTCAGCCCTCCCTTGCCCATTCTATTGTGGCCCTTTAATCTAGTCCTATTCTCCCCACCACCACCTTTCTAAAACAAAATCCTAAGTGATAAAGCATTTGATTTGAACCTATGGTTAGAATCCTGCTACTACTTTCAACTATATCTTGCATAGTTTTTGTTCCCTTTTCATCTCTCCTTGGCTCCGAATTCTTAGCTTTTTGACCTTGACTTCAAACATCACTTTTGATCCTTTCAATATTAGTGACTATACTTATTCCTCATTCTCATCACATAGGAAGAGAAACTTTAGCTTTGATAGCCTTTGACCTAGCTTATACCTCTAACTTTCCAAACCACATTCTCTCAGACAATAATCCAAAATTTCAATCAAAATACTCCATCATTCCTCTATTTTCCTCTGATATTTCTTTCCTAAACTATGTCTTGGTTTTTGAGCCATAAGTTCTAGAGCTCCTTACATATGGCATTATGCTTCATCCTTTCTTTCCCCCACAGTTCTCCTTCCTCAACATAAACATGCATGCCTTGAGCATACATATCAGAGGACAATATGTCTTGGAGATTTTTGTTGTGGAATGTTAGTTTAAAATGTGTTACATTTGTTTATACTGTGGAATAGTTGTTTAACAATGCAAAGATAGGTTGCATTCTTTTATGTTGCATTTGTTTAACTCTGTAAAGCTGTATTACTTTACCTGTCTAAAACACCTGATTGGTCTAATAAAGAGCTGAACGGCCAATAGTTAGGCAGGAGAGAGAGGATAGGCGTGGCTAGCATGCAGAGAGAATAAATAGGAGAAGAGAAGGAAGAGAGAGGAGCAAGAAAAGGACAAAGGACACCAGGGGCCAACCACCCAGTCACACAACCAACCACAGAGTAAAAAGGAAAAAAGGTATATAGAATAGGGAAGGATAAAAAGATCAGAAGTAAAAGGTAGATGGGATAATTTAAGAAAAGCTGGCTAGAAGAAATAAGGCAAGCTAAGGCTGGGCGTTCATAAGTAAGAATATGTTTCTGTGTATTTATTTGGGAGCTGGGTAATGAGTGCCCAAAGAATAAAACAAACAAACAAACAAACAAACAAACAAACAAAAAACCCACTAGAGGTTTTGATACTTGAAAGGGCCTAGTAAGCACATGAATTGAATCTGCTGATCAAATTGAGAAGTGAACAGCAACGGCACAGTCCAGGCATCTATGAGAGACACAGTCACACCAAAGGATGAGCAGCCTTTAGTGAGAGACATGAACATCTAACCACTATGGATATAGCACCGCTGCCAAGCACCTTTTCCTCCTGGGACTGTTTGTCCTGTTGTCAGCTGCTATGACTTTATCATCCTGACAACTTGATGTGTAACCCAGTGACATGCACTGAAATGGATGCAGCACAAAGCAGTTCACTGGGGATGCTGTGCTCGTGTTGACGACATTACTGCTTGTTCTTCAGATACTTCTCTCTTTACCTGACCTCAGAGTAGTAACAGAGACCACAGTCACAAACTTCTGAGAGCAGAAAAAATAATTCTGGATGACCTGCACTCCAGGACTATAAAGCAGAAGGAGTCTCCAGGGACATCCAGGACCCATAAAAACTGAGAAGAGTGCTTCTAGTCTGTCTTGTTTTTCTGTGACCTCTCCTTCTGAATCCAGCATAAACCAGAAAGATAGTTACTAGTAATTAAGTGGAGGTAGAAAGTGACACTAAAAGTTTGTGAGGGAAACTACACATAATTTATAGTATTTTTGACCCTGTTACATTTGCATACACTAAGAAGGCCTATTCTATCTGCTGAAGACTAAAGCAATTTTAAAAGGACTCACCTCTTAACTCAAGTCCACAAAAAGAACACCAAGTGTCCTCCCTCATATATGGATCCTAGCTTTGAGTTTTTAGATTTGTGTGTGTGTAACTTAAAGAGATTTATGAGCTCAGGAAACTAAAAAGATCCGATGAGAGGGAGGGGAAGAGGTGGGTGAGGAGAGAGTAGAGCATATATATGAAAGCACAAATGGAGGCCGGGCAGTGGTGGCGCACGCCTTTAATCCCAGCACTCGGAAGGCAGAGCCAGGCGGATCTCTGTGAGTTCGAGGCCAGCCTGGCCTACAGAGTGAGTTCTAGGAAAGGCACAAAGCTACACAGAGAAACCCTGTTTTGAAAAACCAAAAAAAAAAAAAAAAAAAAAAAAAAAAAAAAGAAAGCACAAATGGAATACTTGCAATTAAAGGGTTAAACAGGGCGAAGGGTGGGGATACAGGGGACAGGATGGAGTGATGATTTGGTTAATTCAAACTAAGGATGTTTGAAAAAAAATTATGGAAACCCAGTACTTTGTAAGCTAATTAAAATATATATAATTAAAAGAAGAGGAAGAGGAGGAAGAGGAAGAAGAAAAGACTTAACACAGACGCTGAGGAAATCCAAAGAATCATTAGGTCAAACTTTAAAAACCTCTACTCTACAAAATTAGAAAACCTAAAATGGGTAATTTTCTCAACTGATACCACTTACCAAAGTTAAATCAAGAGCAGATAAACAATTTAAATAGACCCATAAGCCCCAAGGAAATAGAAGCAGTCATTAATTCTCCCAACCAAAAAAAGCCCAGGGCCATACTGTTTTAGTGCAGAATTCTACCAGACTTTCAAAGAAGAGCTTACACCAATGCTCCTCAAATTATTCCACAAAATAAAAATAGAAGCAGCACTGCCCAATTCATTTCATAAGGTCACACTCACTCCGATACCCAAACAACACAAAGATTTAACAAAGGAAGAGAATTACAGACCAATTTCCCTCATGAACATTGGTGCAAAAATACTCAATAAAATACTTGCAAAGCAAATCCAAGCACACATTAAAAAGATCATCCACCATGACTAAGTAGGCTTCATCCCAGAGATTATAGGGATAGTTCAGAATATGAAAATCAGTAAATGTAATCTACCATATGAACCAACTGAAAGGAAAAACAAAAACAAAAAACAAAAAACCATGATCATCTCATTGGATGCCAAAAAAGCCTCTGACAAAATCCAACATCCCTTTATGATAAAAGTCCTGGAAAGAGTAGAAGTACAAGGCATATACCTCAACGTAATAAAGGAAATTTATAGCAAGCTAATAGCCAACATCAAATTAAATGGAGAGAAACTCAAAGCAATCTGTGGGGGCCCACAGAGGCCTTACTCAAGGTCAGAAAGGCTGAGCTTGCTTTTCTCAGCAGGGCTGCATAATAGGATGATTTGGCCAAAGGCATGGTTACCAGGTGTTTTTAAGGGTCTATACTTGTTGGTACTTTATATCTCAACCTTGAAAGGGGGAGGTCTTTTGCCCCTCCACTTGATTATGTATTTAAAAAGCCCATCATGAATAAACTCAGTGCTGCTGGGTATTAACCCAGGGCCCTCCCAAAGCTATCCTGTGTCTCTCTGTCTTTTCTTCCTCTATGTCTATATTTCCTATCTAGCATTTCTCAATTCCTCACTCCCCACTACAAGGGACCCTTTGGTAGGTTGGGGCTGGACCCCAACACTGGGCCCCTGACAGCAACCCCACTAAAATGGGGGGGGGTGTTCACCTCTCAACCTCATTCTAGTTGTCTTTCAATCCAAATACCTTCCCTACAAAGTCAATTACTTGTATATTAGGGAAACTCTACCTCCAAAATAACTGCATATCACCAGGCACCAGTAGACACGTAATAGGGAACTTTCCTTTTCCAGGTCCTCTTCTCTGCAGGTGTAGAGTCCAGGGAGTCTGATGTACTAGAAAACCGGTTTCAAGACTGACTCTGCTGGCCACTTCTCGAAGCTCAGGCAAAAAAAGTTTATTTGTAAAGTAGGGTAACAGTGTTCTCATAGATATTTTTTTTTATGAATTTAGCATAAAATAACACATGGAAAGAGTTATGTATACTCTCCAGGCACACAGGCCAGTGAGTAATCTGCTGCTCAGAGATAACAGTATCTGAACAGTCACTGTGGGCGTCTGTGTGATAACTCACTAGGTTCTCATAAGGAGCTCCTTGCAAGCTTTTTTTTGTTTTGTTTTGTTTTGTTTTGTTTTTCGAGACAGGGTTTCTCTGTGTAGCTTTGCGCCTTTCCTGGAACTCACTTGGTAGCCCAGGTTGGCCTCAAACTCACAGAGATCCGCCTGCCTCTGCCTCCCGAGTGCTGGGATTAAAGGCGTGCGCCACCACCGCCTGGCTTCTTGCAAGCTTTTTTAAAGAGAGACTCCACACTTAGGAACTGAGATTCTAGTATCCTGAGAGCACACAGGAAAAACATTCTTAGAAGTGAGGATTATATAGAATCTCTTTGCCTTAGGGGCCTCAAGTCCTTAGGAAGCAATTTCCACCTTCTCTAGTTTGGCAAGACCTCACTGAGCATCATCTCAGATAGTCTAGACTATGTAGCTGAAGTTTTCCTGTGTCCTACCTGGCCTTTGGTCAGGACAAATCTCTCTCACCCACCAGTCCTACGGCCACTTGGACCCAAGTAAACACACAGAAGCTTATATTAATTACAAACTGTATGGCCATTAGCTCAGGCCATTATTACTGACTAGCTTCTACATTTAAATTCTTATTTATTTATATATTAGACAGAAAAGGGGAAATGCTGTGGGATAATGCTGTTGCACACTGGTTTAATAAAACTGATTGGCCAGCAGCCAGGCAGGAAGTATAGGCAGGGCAAGCAGACGAGGAGAATTCTGGGAAGAGGGGATCGGGCAGGACACAGGAAAACTTCCAATTACAAATGGGGCCAAAATGTGGGTCAGGAGTTTCCACCTAAAACCTGAGAGAGCTTTAAAAAAAAAAAAAAAAGGGAGGTGGGCAGAGCCAGATGCCAAAGCTGCCATTTCAGTCCTAGTCAATCTACAGTTTAAAGCAACAAATTCACAATAAGTCAGATTCAGATTAAATAAACTTCTAAATGGTTTATAGTGTGTGTTTGAAAATGTATGTAGACTTGGAAGAGAGGAAAAGGAATATAGACAGTTATATAAAGAAATAGTTTTAAAAAATAAAGTCTTTAAAGAGACAGTAAAGGTAATATAAAAATAAGCCACATAAAGATGGATATTACAGAGAGAATCTGGATTGTGTTGTCTTTGGGATTTTTAACTGCAGAAAGACATTTAATAATAAAGGCTGCTCAGTTAAACCCATATATATATTTTAAAGATATCTTGACTTCAAAATTTGGATCTAAGGATATGTTGCTTTGAAAAGGAGGCTGGTTTTGTTTCTACAGGAAGCAAGAGGCTATGGATTTATTCCAGGTTAAGATGGATCATATTTGATCAACCCAGACCTCCTAAACCTTAACAGATGCTTCCTATCAACAAAGGTTATAGCCAGTCTTCCCAGGACTTGAACATTACCTCAAATTTTCTCAGGATCCCCATAAGACTACCAGCGCCCCGTATCAGCAGGAAATAGCCTAGAACACTACGCCCACATTCCCCAAAAAATAGATTAAGGATGTTTGTCTTTGTTTAGATTGTTGGTTGCAAATTGTTATTTATTGGTCATAGTCAATCTCCTTCTAAAAGAAGAAAGAGGGATAGGATATATATGTGATAGGATGAAAGGGTAGATTATTGAATTTACTTTTAAAGAACAACTTGATTTAAATTGCTATAGATTTTAGTTTATTGATACAAATTTAAAGTTAATTTTGTTATACTGTATGTATATTTCTACTCTTGTTTAAGGTATTATGTTTGTGCAGTTCATTTGAAATTGTAATGGATAGTTTAAGAAATACAGATTAATAATTAGTCTTCAGTGATAGTCATGTTAGTTTAGTTTTCTAGGTATACATAGATATATTTCAGATAGATAGGTAATCTTCAAACACTTCAAAGACCTACAAAATATGGCATTTAGGACTTTCTGGACAGTGAGACACATCTGTTTCTGGCAGGATCCATTTACTTCAAAGAGAAAGATGGGCGTCAAAGACACTCCATATGGAGTTATCTTCTTCTTGGCAAAGACAGCCATTTGGGCAAGAAACTGTTGTTGCCTGGACTACTTGACAAAATGTTGTGTCAACTGGACATTCAGGACCCATGGAAAGGTGACCACTGAACTTTGCAAGGCAAGGTGATCCTTCAGGTTCCTGCTTCACAGAGGAGACTGCAGGATATTCTACAGGACACAAGGAGAAAGAATTAAAAAACTCAAGCCCTATAGGATGAAGATGGATGCCCCAACACTGTATACGAAACTTTAGTTGACTGTCCAGGGAGACAGCTGTCTCTGTCATTCTAGATTTTTGGAAGTTGCTTACAATGCATTTCCTGTTTACTTAGGTAATATATCCTTCTGGGGTCTTTGATGTAGTTGAAGACTAGATAGTTATAGTTATAATTTTCCTTGGTTATGATAAAAGATAAATTAGATATGAAACTTTAGACTCACAAATATAGGATAGATGGAATATTTTTGTTAATTTTGCCAAATACAAATAGACTAGATATTATAACTATAATTCTTGCTTGATAACTTTTTTTGTTATATGTAATTTTACTATGTTAAAGTTAAAACCTTCGTTTTTGATTAGACAGAAAAGGGGAAATGCTGTGGGATAATGCTGTTGTACATTGGTTTAATAAAACACTGACTGGCCAGTAGCCAAGCAGGAAGTATAGGCGGGGCAAGCAGACTAAAGGAATGCTGGGAAGAGGAAGAGCAGAGTCAGAAGTCACCAGCCAGGCACAGAGGAAGCAAGATGTAAAGGCAGAACTGAGAAAAGGTACCAAGCCACATGGCTAAACATAAATAAGAATTATGAGTAATTTAAGTGTAAGAGCTAATCAGTAATAAGCCTGAGCTAATGATCATACAGTTTGTAATTAATATAAACCTCTGTGTGTTTATTTGGGTCTGAGTGGCTGTGGACTGGGAGGAACACAGGAAAACTTCCAACTACAAGACTACAATAGCAGCAAAGCAGAATGTGTTGGAAGAATGGGTCACATTCTGCTCTTCAGCACCCATAGAGTCTCTAGACACAGTAGTCTCTTTAATCTTGCAGATTGCCTCTGACTCTATTTCCTTTTCTGTGCAGATGGAAACCCTCTTCTTTCCCTATCGGAAATCAGTAGCCTGTGTTGTATAAGACATCTTCATGGCCAAACTACCACTATCTTCAGGATTCCAGCTGGACCTGCTCACCAAAGACCATCTATCATAGTTGATATTCCCTCTTGGAAAGGGGATGGAGAGGATCATGAAACCCTTGCTTGAGTATGCAGTCAACCCTCCCAACCATTTGTATGTAATTCTGCCCTAAGTACACATGGCCTTTGGGTCTCTGGGAAAGGCTAGAGGTGGGGAATATAGGCAGGGAATGATGCAGGGAAGATGTTACATCTATACAGCTATGGGGAAGCTACCATCCTTCCTGGGTACTACTGTAAGTCATCTGTCCTCCTGTCTATAACGCCTCACCCACTGCTCTGTAAGGAACTCTAATAACTCATTGGTTCCCTTGGGTGAACCTTAGTGGAACTGTAATTTGGTTTGTCATTAGGACCTAAGGAGGAGGGGTAGACATTGTTCATGTCTCTTTTCAAGTCAAGGAATTTTAGCAACATCTGTATATCCAAGAACCAAGAGCCACAGTATTCATTAACTAACACGCTTTTCAGGTCCCCAAAGGCTGTGATACCAATGTTTCATATCTCTGTTTCGTATCTCCTCAAAAGTCTTCATTTTAAGGCCTAGAGTTGTAATTCAGTGATATGGTGCCTGCCTGGCATATACAAGGTCCCAAGTTCACTCTCCAGCACCACAAAATAAAAATTTCCATTTTCAGATTATTAATTACAACACAACATGATTAATCCTACTACTATAGAGATAAAACTGAATGAAGGCTCCAGTAAATTGACAGGTAATAGGTGCTGTGCTATATGGACCAGGTCATGTGAACCTTTCAATGTAAAAGGAAAGGAAAGCATGCCATTCTTGATAGAAACACCCTGAAAGTCTGAATAAACTCTACATTGGTATATATTCATATTCTACTTGTATAGGTAAAATGTCAATAATGTTCTATATAGTCTACATAAAAATCACAGTAAAATACTTATCAGCATCTTAAGCTCTGTGACCTTCCACAATTTCTTTCCTCAATTTTTGTTTATTTTAGCCCTCTATCTAAATGCTGAGGCAATTAGAAAGGTATTGTCCTCAAATTTTATACAAACATATCCTTAAAAGCATCTAAATATAGACTACAGTACACTGAGAGTTGTACTTTAAAGACTTAGTTTTAAGTTACCAAAGAAAGCACCTTTTTGTTGAGTATACTATAATTTTATTTCTTGAAAGGTTTAACTTATCAGGAAATGTGGAGGGAAGGTAGGGAAGATGCTAATTCTTACATAAAAGTCTAGCTGGTTTTTATCACTATTATCATAGTAGAGTTTTATATCTAGGTTCCCAGGCTCCTAAATTAAATGTCAAATACAATCCACACTCGAAACATGAAGCGTGGCTGCTATGGAGGAGTGCAGACAGTTCCACTCCCCTCTCCCCATTAGCTGTGTAAGCAGCACCTGCAAACATTCAGCAGAGTAGATTACCAAGTCTCCCCTGTCAGTGTAGAAAGGAGCAAGGGTGGACATCACAATGAATTGGTTTTATTAAGCCATTTAATGCTCAGTCCCTTTGCTTTCTAACAATGTTCCAGCTCCCCCAGTGACTCAAAAATCATTGCCATCTTACTTATAAAATGCCTATAATCAATGTATGTAGAAGTTCCTTATGATTTGGGGCCCCAATAAGAAAGAGTTACAGTCAAAGGGTAAAGCTGCAAGGGAAACAAGAGGGAGTAGGGGGAAAAATAAAGAATCTTAGTGGCATTTACTTTAAAGCAGGGATACACCACTTGGTGTGACTCTTAAAAGAAATATAACTGCTTTTTCTTTTAATTTGGCACCAGGCAGATCTGCTGGAGTATTTGGTCCAGAATAGCAGAAGAGATGCTATGCAATGGATTCTTATTTTTATCACGAATACCAACACACAGCTGCACACACACAAGGTGGATATATCTGCCTTGACTTGCAGGAGGAGCAGGAAGCTATGCTGAACAAGGCCACATACTTGACAGCCAGACCAGGCCTTCAAAATGAGCCTGCCAGCCACACCAAGAGATCCTAACTTTGAGAATTTAACTCAATTTATTTGCATATCATTATTACTCAAAGAGATATCAATGACCCTTAAAACCTACAATGTGTAAGTATTACTAAGCCTGAGAAGTGCTAATTGATCCAAATAAAGAATCTAGTTATTTGTAAGTGGGTAGCTAATTTTTTTCTCAGAAAGGATTGGAAGGGTCTCCTCAATTTTGTAGAGAAGTAGCTGGCCCCAGATCCACTTGTCCCCCTTTTAAAGGCATTTCTCAGGACTAGAAGGGCCAGTAGTAGCCACCATTAATAGGATATCATACTTTATCTCATATAGTCTTCCTTTCAACCTCTGAAGTATATACTATTATCCCCTATTTTACAGACAAAAAACCAAAAATCAAAAAGTTGAGCACAGGATTTGCCCAAGCTTGTACAGCTATCCATGTCAAAGCTACTCTTGGGGTAGGGGCTTAATAATTGTAGAACATATACTGCTTCTTCCTGTCAGAGGTGAACATCAGGTTCCTGACCCTTATCCCTGTCTAAAGAAGGAAAAGAAAAACATTGTTCATGGCTGACACTTTAAGGATGGAGCAAAGTAATTCAGGTAGTAATTTTGCCTCCCCCAAGAGCTTTAAGAGATATGAGCCACAGATCTTATAATTCACTCATTAAAGAATACAGTTCAGGGGCTGGAGAGATGGCTCAGAGGTTAAGAGCACTGACTGCTCTTCCAGAGGTCCTAAATTCAATTCCCAGCAACCACATGGTGGCTCACAACCATCTGTAATGAGATCTGGTGCCCTCTTCTGGCCTGCAGTCATACATGCTGTAAACATAATAAAATAAATAAATCATAAAAAAAAATTAAAAAAAAAAAAAGAATACAGTTCAGAGCTGGGCATCATGGTACATGCCTTTAATCCACTGCTCAGGAGGCAGAAACATGTAGATCGCTGTGAGTTTGAGACCAGCCAGGTCTATGTCATGAGTTCCAGGACAACCAGGGATATGTATGGAGACCCTGTCTCAAAAAAAAGTGTACAGTTCAGCTTTTTTTCTATTCAGGTTATTACTATATCCAGAGTTGTGGAACTAGCACCACTATCCATCTCTGTTCCCTTTCATTATCACTCAAAGAAACCCCATGCTTGTAAGCTGTCACCACTTCTCGGCCCTAGACAATGCCAAGTCTACTTCCCATTCCTATAAACTTGTCCAATATGAGCTTCTGTATAAGTAGAATCATACATTATTTGGTCATCTGTGAATAACTTTTTAAAAACTTATTTAAGGGATATGATATTCCCAAATGTCAAGAACACGATATTCCAAAATATGACTATAGAAGAGTGGAATAGGTTACCCCAAAATATGACTCATTGTTAGTTTATTTTAAGTTGCTTTGATGTTATTATTCTTTTGTTTTGTAGACAAGATCTGACTATGTAGCCCAGGCTACATATTCACAGCAGTCCTCTTGCCTCAGTCTCCTGAGTAACGAAATGACAAACACACCTCACCATTCCCAGCACTGACTTAGGATTATTTAACACAAAAAAACTTACCCTTTTGTGAGAGACTTACAAAGGAAATCTAAGGGCATCTCCCTCTCTGTATAGAAAAAGAAGGTGCCTCTAAATCACAGATGCATATCTACCATGCACACCTCTCCATCTTTGTTTACCAATCTGTTTTGGACATCTCCCAGAACTGGCCTATCTCAATGATATTCACATATCAATTCAAGCCTATTCACTGGGTTATATATGCAAACAAATTTGTATTCCTTTTTTCTACTGTTGATTTGTTTCTGTTCAAAGAATTTCTCAATTAAGAACTCTCAGTGGTAGAGAGGAAAATTATTTTTTTCCCTACATGAAATTTCCAAGGGTAGTTGATGGTATGGCATCTACTACTACTTCATTTTTCACTGCTAAATACTATTTCACTGCAGATGTACCATGCTTTATTTACCCATTCTTCAGCTGAAGGACAAGGGGGGTTGTTTCCACTTTCTGGACAGATTGACTAATGCTGCTGCGAAGATAAGTGTGTACATTTTTATGTTCACCTGCTTTCATCTCTTAAATATTTTTGCACACACAACAATAGAACTGCTAGATAATATGATAACTCATTGATTATCTATTAGAGGGACTGACACTACTTACCAATGTGGCTGTACCATTACACATTCCAGTCATAAATGCACGAGGGTTGCAATTTCTCTACACTCACACAGTAAAGAAAACTGCAGATCAGCCTCCCATATCTCCGTTATACCTGGCTTGGTAAGTCTTGAAACTTCTTGCATCTATGAAGTGGGACAACTGGAGCAAGTGGTCAGCTTTACAAGAGGGTACCTCTCTGTCATCATAAGTAAAACATATTGACCAGTAAGAACATTGATGCAATGAAATAGCTGGTTATATGACTAGAAACTCAACTCTGCATTACATTTTCCCTGTTCCAAATAACTTTAGACTACAACTGTCATATTTACCAAAATACAAACAAAACAAAAAAACACTGCTGTAGCAGGAATCTTAAAAGTTCTTATTAATAAAATCAAACCTGAGGCCAGTTATTGGGGTGAATGCTGAAAGATCAGAGAGGCAGAACAAGCCACAGCTACCTCACCTCGCCATTTCCTCAGCTGATCCTGTTTCCTCAGACTGGAAGCTTCTGTGTCCTCATCCCAATGGCTCTCAGCTGAACTGCTGCTCGAAAGCCTGAATGCTTAGCCAGTCAAAAGCTTCTAGTTTCTGGTCTTCACGCCTTATATATCTTTCTGTTTTTGCCATCACTCCCTGGGATTAAAGGTTCACTTCTTGGGATTAAAGGCGTGTGTCACCATGCCTGGCTGTTTCCAATGTGGCCTTGAACTCACAGAGATCCAGAGGGATTTCTGCCTCTGGAATGCTAGGATTAAAGGTGTGAGTGCCACCATTTTCTAGCCTTTGTATCTAGTGGCTGTTCTGTCTCTGACCCCAGATAAGTTTATTAGGGTGCACAATATTTTGGGGAACACAGTACCAGCACAGTCATGGGGAGAGGGAAGCAAGGGGCCCCATGCCTCTTTTTTCTTTTTTGATTCGTGTTCTCACTCAGTACTCTATCATCCTCTGGCACCCCACCAGAGGCCCAAAGCATAGGATCCACCTGGGATTATGAGCCCAAGTTAACCTTTCTTCTGTATAAGTTAATTATCACTCTTATCTTTATGTTAATTATTGCTATGTTTTAGTGAGGGAAAGCTGATATTAACATCCACTAGCCTTCAATAGTGAGTCTTGGGATTAAAATAAAATAACAGGGAGCATCTGCATCTAATGTTAATCCACCCAGCTTCTTTCTTCTGAATTTCAAGAAGCAAGCTGAAATTAATAGGACAGATTTCTGTTTGCTCTGTGTGTATTACTTCCCTGCTTCTTCCTGAACATTTAGCCAGAGACGTCCCCAATAAATCTGAAGATAAAATAGTCTCAATTGTCAGAGACATAAGGGAATCTCAAAATCATCTATAGGAACAATCTGAATCCCACAGAGAACATGGTGTACACAAGGACATGACCTGAGCATGCACAGGGTGACTTACAGTACAGGATGCCCTGTAGTCCCCCATGCTAGTTCATCCCCATTTCCCTCTTGATTAATCTTATTCACAAACTAGGTCTCCTCATTGTGTCTTCCAGGAACTACAGTAGCATCCATTTTGTCTCTTCCCTGGAGACAGTGAAAGGGATAGTTCCTCTTAATATTAGAAGAAATTGTCAAAGACCTTACTGATGCTGGCTTTGTCTGAATCTCTCCTTTAGGGAGGGGTGGAAGCCATAGATCTTGGCAGATGTTCAGCACAGACATCTGTTGACAGGTGTCAGCTGACCCCTAAGATAATCAGGTGTCCTAAAACGGACCACAATTTTCCAACCAAAGAAATATCTGTGAATCACAGGACGAAGTATAAATGTGTTTTCTAGCTTCTTTTTAGCTACTCTGCCACCTCACATAATTAGTCCATAAATTAAAGCCAAGAAAGGAAGAGTCCAAGGCCATTCTCCTCGATACAATCACAGAATCAATGATAATGGATTTAGTCTTTTCACACCCTAGTATGTTTCATCATATTCAATTGAGCAGTATGGCTGTATCAAAAGAATCTTAGACTAGTACTGCCATTGTGAAAGCCCAAATGGCTGGGTCTGGCTATGCCCTCTACTGTCTCAAAAGTTTTGAAAAGCCTCTGACCAATCCAGTCTCAGTCTTCTCATTTGTAAAATATTAATATACATAGGCTGTTCTTCACACATAATGATTTCCTGAACACTTAAATTAACCAGATTTTTGAGAGTGGGGCCTAGGTATGTCATATTTACCATTACACCTCCAGAACTGGGCCTGCAAGATGACATGTACCATGTCCATTAGGTCAACAAAGTGACAGGAGTTTAGAGAGAGAATAAACTGTTACTCTGGTTTTTAATGCCTTTAATGTTGCTGTTTGATTCTCTAGAATGTGAGTTAGTTTGGATTGCTATTTTCCATTTTCTATCACTAAGAAGGAACTGAGGGACAAAAAATTCCTAAAGTGAATCAACAGAGACAAACCTGGTCATAAATGAGTGACTTCCAAAGCTCATGCTATTTCTGTTTAAATTCTTCTCTTGTCTCAGTACCTGGCACACAAAGTGGATGGTTTTGACCTTTACAGAGGTCTATTCTGTGACCCCTGATAGAGTGTGTTTCATCAATCATCAACAGCAAGGTGAACTCTGATTATCATCACTGGTCACTTCTTTAGTTTTCCTCTTTGGTCTTTGATAAATGAGTATTTTTCGTGGCAAAGATGTAATTCTAATAGTACTGCATGACATGCAGCTTCTGCCTGCCAATGCAAAGTGTCTGAGATTGTTCAAATGGACTCTTATTTTAAAGCCCCTTCACTGTGGATTCTGAGAGCCAAAAGAAAGACTAGGCCCTTAATACCACATATGTCTGATTTTGCTCAACTATCCAGGAAAGAAAAATTTGAGAAGAATTACATGTGTAAAGAATGCCTAGATGCAGGGGAAATCATAT